AATAACTCAAACTCGTAGAATATAATTGTGGCACATTTCTGAAAAGCTGTTTGATTAGAAAAGTTAAATAATCATACTGTATTTTGCTGACTGAAATCACCATATAAAAATCTTTATCATATTTACAACTTTTTCGTGATCCGAAATTTGCTGTGAAGAAATGAAGAAACCTTAAACAAACTGAGATTAAATTAAAAAAATGCTTTTATTTATTGATTGGGAGTGGTTCTATGTTTGAAAAATAATCAAAAAATGTTCAAAAACGACCATTTTTTTCCGCTGGGAATACATTTCATTTTTTTTTTCAATCCACGTCACGACTAAACTATCCAAGTTGTCGGAAAGTTATTCTACCTCATAGTCCCTTCTCAGTCTACGAGAAAGGTCGGAACAATTTTTTTAAGGTTTAATGAAGCCACCTGCGGATTTGCGTGGGGGGGGGGGTGGCTGGAGGACGCCCCGTGTCAGGGATTCGACCCCTGCAGACCCAAAGGGCCCCCTTTTGAAGTACCAATTTTTGGCTGATTGACAGTAAAAATTTTCTAAGGGGGCTGTCATCCGGCAAGATTGACATGAATTTTTATTATGTATCTATGTTTATAGACAGGTAATCAAAGACCAAATAGATGGCCTTGACTGATATAAAATATCAGATGGCTGGGCGATACCATTCAGTTGCTGTTTAAAACAGAATTATGTTCAGTTAGTTTTCTTAGTCCGAGTTACTTAGATATCGATAGCCACTCTTAGATATAAGAGCCCACTGAGTATTCCACCATTTAAGCAGAAGTCATCAGAAGAACCACCACTGGAATGGTCAAAGTAGGCAGCTATGATGGAGATGGCTGTGTTTGCCGAAGACGAGGTAGACATATGGGTTTAATTAAGAACAAAACCTCCAGTGTTGAACCAAATGAACTAAATTACGCGGTTAAATTTATGGATAAACAGGAGCACAAAAGCGCAATAGAGATATCAGAAACCAAGAAAAAAGAGTCACTTGGGAAAAAACAAGGTAAAAATCAGAGACAAGGGTGTGCTTTGCAACAACATAACCAGGGATAAAAGTGAGAAGCTATATCTTCTTATGTCTGGGTCAACGACAACTTAAACGGTCATATTGTGAAACTAAAAACAAAATCAGAAAACTTATTAACAAAAGCGGAGTCAGGAAGCCCAATATCATTGTTACTGAAAAAATGGCAGAAAAGCTACGCCAAAACGACTGCTCCGCGATATTCAAGAAACTCCTCACACCGGCGGACGCCGCCCAAAACCTTGCCTGTCATAACGGACTTTATATTGTTTCAAAACGACGCCTGATAATTGCGGTGGAATCCGGAAGATGAATCATCCGATCGCCACTGTTCATCATGATCAAAAAGCAAACTTCATCGGGCGGAACTTTCTACGGAAATTGATAATGACAAAAGGGTAAACAATCACGGACAAACAGTATTACATAAGGCGTTTCAAAAAATTCAATGACGAAAACTTAGTACTTTGCCGGATAGTAGCAAACTTTCTTGTGAACAAAACGAATGGTTCGGCTACAAGGTAAGTAGCGAAGGCCTACTACCAGTAACACAAAAAACAAAGGCAATACAAAAGCTCTCTAAACCAAAAAAATTAAACAACCAAGAAGCTTCTTGGGCTCCATACACCATTTTACGAGAGGCACTCCCAACCTCACAAAAACAGCATCCACACAAAAACTACGAAAGGCTATAATGGGCGATTCATCCCTGATAGCGCATGGGTCCGAGGGAGAGGTAGCTCCTAAAAATCACACATCACAACTCCTCGCTCACCTAATGACGTGCTAATGACGTGCAATCACAAACAGAGCTAACAATACGAGTACTGCGGTAGTGGAGTCGACCCTCAGCTTTTCTGCATTGAAGCAAATTTGCCAAACGAGGCCCCGCCGACAATGTGCGGTACATAACTAGAGGGTAGCCACGAACTAATTGTGGCAAGTGTCGTGGAAACAGCAGACCGAGCTACATCAACGGAGGCGAAAGAGGATACACCACTCTATTGAAAGAAACTACAGCAAGTTGTCGGGTTCAAAATTTTAGACGCGGCCACCCACAGGGACACAAACATCCAGCCAATAATCAATTTCGTTCAGAAACGGGACTGGGAAACGGGACAATTGCACCAAACCATTCTAGGAAGCTTACAACTACCGGGGCGGCGGCCATGCTCAACTTGTGCAAAAATATCTGGTTCCCCAAAATACACAATCGTCCAGATGGAAATTCTTAGCTCTCCACAAAAGTGTAGAGCTAAAAAGTTTCATTTTTTCTGTAAAGCCAACAACATCAAACTTATTTCGGGACCGTAGATGATCACACATCCAGAGGGGTTGTGCAGCGTCTAATCCGAACACTAAAGCGCAGTTTAGGGGTTATGCGAAAAGACGGAAAAAACTCCACATATAAGTTAGCCTCGGACGTCTTCGAAATCATAAAAACATTAAAAATAACACAGCAAGAAACCACAAAAATCTCTCTTTTCGACGCCCACATGGGCCCAAATCCCAAAACATGACTATCCAACCTGGCAACAACTAGCTCACCAAAAAACATAAACTGTGAAAACGCAAAACACACTTGTTTAGATCGGAAAAAAATCTGATGTAATCACCTCTCCAAGCAGAAATCATGCACTACTTTCAATGCTGGTCTGAAAAAGAAACAAAAATAACACGACGGCCCATGAAGAATCTTCCAGAACCACCGAATACGTCCCTGATAGACGGGGATCCCTCTTCTAAAAGTAGCACAGATGTGACAACAAGATATTCACTAGCTAAGGAAAAGGAAGCTTTAAATCTAAGATATAAAGGAACACAAGAACAAGTAGACACTAACAATTAAAAACACATACAACAGGTAGCTATAGCTAGAAAGACATTCAGTCTCGAAACAAAAGTTAAAGACCTAAAATACAAACGATCGAAGATAGAATTTTAGCATATACACTGCACACAGCTTGGGCATAAATGAAGGGGAAAAAACCTCGCTCAACACCGAAATTACGCTTAGAGGAACATAAAAAAGGGCAAAAAACGGATGTCTCGTCTAGCGATGGGTGGTCGTCCACAGCTTCAAAAAACTCAGATCCCTCCCCCAAAAGACAGGGCACCAAAACAACACCGCCGCCGCAGCTTTAAACAACCACAGAACCAACAAGAAAATCCACACGAACCCAACGGGCCACACTAATTTCAACTTTGGTAAACCCAATCCCAATCAACACCATCGATGCCCCACCAAATTTTTAATCGCGTCTCCAGAGAAACAAACTACGGGCACCCCGGCTAACACAAGCAACAAAAGCTTCATCCGAGAAATGAGTTTTTTTTAAAAAAAATCATCAGAATTTTTGGGGTGTAAGAAACTTTTTGAAATGATAAAACCGAAGAAAAAGGACAGCGACCCCATAAGCGTAATAGATTTGATCTCCCCTTGTGAGAGCCCAAAGAAGACTATACTGGCCCATGACAAATCGAAAGAGGAGGCGAACGCCACAGAGGAAACGAAAAGTTCCAGAAGGAGGAAGAGGCTCCATCAGCGCCGCTGACAATAACTAAAAACACACCTATCACAACAACGCTCGCGGAGGCAGAGACACGACAAGGAAAAGACAATAAGCGGAATTAAAGGAGAGGCAATCAAACAGTCTCATGTGGACTATAAAACTCAAGTCCGAAAGGGACTACAAAACTAATAATTAGTCTCACTCGGACGATAAACCTCCACTTTTTCCACGAGGGGGAATGTCTTCCGTCCGGATTGGCATATATTAATTATATAAACCTATACTTATATAGAGCTAGTCAGATACCAAATGAATGGCCTTGACTGATATGAAATATCAGATGGCTGAGCGATACCATTCAGTTGGTGTTGAATTCAGATGTATGTTCAGTTACTTTTCGTAGTCCGAGTTACTTAGATACCTATAGCTAACCCGTTCGGATTTTAGAGAAACTCATACGTTACAGTATGACAGGCGCCTTTGGCGCCAAACTATACTAGTTTTGAGTGGGAGTGCGTGCCCAAAAAACGCAATTTTGTGGTCAAAATTTTCCTTAAAATGCTTTTTTGGCCCTCTTTTGTCATAAATTTGCCTTTTGCACCAAAATTTTGTCAAAACGGGGTCTTTATAGTGATTTGGGAGCGCTCAGAAAATTAATTTGGTAAACCTAAAAAAGAGGTCGACAAAATTTCCTTTTTAAAAAAATTCGCCCCTTCGAGATAATCCTAGATGCGCCCCTGATTAAAACATTTTTTGCTTTTTTTTTACGAAACACTTGAACTCTTTTAGGAAAAATTTGAAAACTACCGAGAGAGCGTGAATCTTGTGATGAATACAATTAATAGACACAGAACCGACTCAAAGCACCTCCCTCTCTTTAATTCTGGTTGCTAAGTTTTTATTCCCGTTCCATATCAGAGCTTTTCGCTTTGAAAAGTTATTTTTTGGGTTTTTGGCAGACCATAAGTTTTTTTTTTTTTTAAAATTTGATGGGCAAATTTTCTCAATTTTTAAAAAAAGCCTCTCTCAAAATTGATTGAGCTCGTTTCAGCTAATATAACAGAAGAAATATCAACAATGTCTGGCGTATAATTCAAAAACTACAAAAGATATAGAGATCTGAAACCACACATGTATTTCATAGACAGTGTCTATCAGGTATTTTTTAGACAGAATTAGTGTTTGTCGATTGTTCTTTGGCGGTGAATGTTTATCAAACAAAAACTTTAATCAAAAAGAATTAACTTTCTTTTCGATTATTCGACTTCACACATTTTTTCAGACAAAGCTTTATTTATCTCAAAATGGTTGTTTTATCTGACTGAAGGATCTAGTTTTACTTCAAGTTTATGTTGACTTTAGATGACATTTGCCAGAGAAAGAATGAAACAACCACATCTGGAGATCAAGTGTTTCTAACTAAAATTAGAAAAAACTTTTCGATATGTTTTATTTGCTTTTGAAAACTTCCTAGTAGTAAAATCCGTTCCAAATCACAAGAACCAAATTTCAAACTCAAAACTGTGTTAATTTCATCACAAAGGACAAACTCAAACCATGCTTGCGTTTTCCATTTTGATTGCCTTAATTTTGTCTGAGTATACAGCGTCAGCGGATGGTTGGAACTATGATTTCCGTAAGTCAGATAGAAATTCAAGAATCCTATTTTTGTAAAACTGTTAAGGTCTTGATTGCTTTTCAAATAGACTATGATACGAATTTATGAAACCAACAATTTTCGAGCCAACATAGCTGCAAAACATAAGTAATTTTTTCTGAATTTTGAGCTCATTAACTCGGTCATCAGTATCTTTCAGAGGGTCTACAAACTTAGGTAAAGAATGAAACACTTCGCTTAAAAGTCGAAAACTGCCAAACAAAAATCCTTTCGGACCATACGATTCCTTAACTTTTTTCAAAGATCGGAACAACAAACTATGATTTGTGTTTCTTTGACGGTTTTGCGAAAAAAAATTATTCCAATGTTTTAAGAGAAAAAACGTGAACCTAGAAGATTGCAAACGTGTGAAGCTACAACGTTCAAACTTCTTCAAGGTTATGAACAGGATCGTAAATGTAGGTTTTGCGTATTTTTCTGAAGTTTCCCGCGTCAACTTTGTTCCGCGTTTTTCCCCAGCTGACTTTTGCTCAGCAATTTATACGACGATTAGTGAAGGAACAGACAAACATTTGGCAGCATACTTCAGAGTGCATGAGCATTTTGCGCAATGCACGAATGGTACTGTCTGATTACGACTTTCGAAATAATGCGCGCGCTCCCCCCTCAAAATTAGTTTATTTTGGAGCCAAAGGCGCCTTTAGAAAAATTTAGGGTCTGTCATCAAAAATGGACATCAGAAAATAGTGCGAAGAAGGGGGACCCTTTGGGTCGGCAGGGGGTCGAATCCCTGAGAAGGGGGAAAGCTACCGCCCCCCCCAAATCCGCCCCTGCTTACGCTTGTGGTTTTTTGTTCCTTGAAGATATGGACACCCTGTGCTCGAAACAAATTTTATACTTCAAATAATTTTGTAAAATTTTGCGGTTCAAAATTGCCAATTTGGTCAGGCTCTGGACTAATTTAGGCGCGCGGTGCAGATTTTGTTGAGCGAAGATGAAAACCCTTTGAATTTTACTATTCAGGGTTTTGAATTCCGGGTTTTGCATTTATAAACAATGGGTCTTCTTTTTATTACATATTATTTTCATTCCACAAAAATAAGTTTTGGATGGAACACATTGTTTTTACCAGCACCGAGCGCCCATGGATCATAATCGATTATATAATCATAATATGGTCAGTAGCTATATAATGACAAAAGAATCGATTATAATCCATTTAAATGGATTATAATCCTAAAAAATTTTTTGTCAATATAATCCACAATAATCGATGAAAATCAATTTAAAATGAATTATAATCCTAAATCTTTCGGTTATAATGAATTTTTTCGAGAAGCTATTCATGAAACTTACAATTTTTTCAAATTTATCTCATTTACTGTTGAGGGCAGTTGCTACGCGTTTTGTTTCATAAAATGTTACAATTCACAATAAAACATATATTTTTTGTCCCTACTTTTTTAATTCATCGCAGTTCAACACTTCATTTTACTGTCTTTTTACCACAACCGCCTTTCGCAAGGGGAAGGGGTAGGGTTTGAACGGTGGTATGAGGGGGGAACTATTTAATGATATAGTTGGGGGGGGGGGGGGGGGAGAGGAGGGGGGTGTACCCCCTCAACCGCTTGTTTACCCCCCCCCCCCGTTTAGTTTTGTTTTGTTTTTTTTGGGGGGGGGGGGTAATGTTGATGTTTTTCGGATTATTTATTTTGTTTTCTTTTTTGCATTAATCACCAAATCAATGCCAAAACTTCAACTGCCACTGAATTGACTTACCAGAACCAGAAGTTTGTTCCTCATCCAATGCATTTGTGTCTAGGCCTGCAGTATTGCTGCTTTTAATATCTATATATCAATCTCAATAACTTCCTGAGCACAAAGATACCTTGATCAGTAGTTGTCAATAATTATTCGGCTAATCGAGCACTTCAGGGAGCAAACATAGCGGATGAGTGTTCTCAGTTTGGCAACTATCCTTAAACTGTGATTTAGTTTTTTCTCGATAGCCCAGCCAACGTTTTGATTAATGAAAACATCCTGCGTTGCTCCTACCAAAATTTCTACAAAATCCCAAATGAGAGGCTGATGACAATCTTCAAAAATTGTAACCAGCTATCCAAATTGCCCCCTTCAGCAGGTATTGAGCGTCGATCTTTGTCGCTTTTATCAGCATTTCGCCTTTCTGCATCGTTATCAATATTTTATTGCCTTTGTGGATATTTTGTTTGATTGTTCTCGAGAATGTAACGCTTGTAAACGTGTGCCGACAACGAAGTTCTGTTTGATGTCCCAGTTTGTAATTGATTTAACGTGTGAGCTATTCAGGTAACTTTATTCCTAAAGAGTGAGCCAGAAGGAAGTATCTCGCGATAAACCTCGCGGCGTCATCATGCTCTGGGCAGCTTTTGTCATACCGTTGCCCGATAGTTTTCTGCAGATTGATTCATTATTGATATGATTACTAAACCATTTAAAAGCAGATCAATTGCGAGATCTTAATTAAATCATATACCATAAAAATGCCAAAAACAAAACAATTTTGGGCAGTTTTGACTGTTCAAATGCCCGATGGCCCACTCTTTCTTTGACTAAAGTACAAACTTGTAGTTCTCAAACTCAAAGACAAGTTTCCACTGGACACAAAAACCGAGTTTGTTTCCTTGAAGCCTTATTTGTACTTGATTTTTCCCAAAAGAAATCAGCAGTGAAATTTGCTTCGATAACTAGCTTCAATTTCTAGTCTATTATGGAAAAAAAATTTAGACGGCGGACAATTTTTTGTCTTGTTGTACTTGTTTTTCCATAAAAGATATTTTTTTAATTGGAAGAGATTTTTATGAACAAGTTTTTTGGCACATTAGTGTTTGAAAAACAAGTTTTTGCCGACAGAAGTCTGGTGGCTTTCTTCGACGCAGTTGTTTTTTGCGCAAAAAAAATTTCCATGATAAATGTCCGTCAACAAAAAGTTTTCAAAACAACTCCGCGTCGAGTACATTTCGAGCTTCAGGAGAATAAACTAGGTTTATTTCGTGCACTGGAAGTTTATATATGAACCGTTCTATTTTCTGAGTCAAGTTCAAGGAGAGGGTAGACCATGAAAGAAAAACAAAATTCTTTCGAGATATAAGTCCCCAGTTTTGATCTGGTACGCGAACACCGCAAAGTTTTCATCAAAAATTTATTTTGATTTGATTTTGAAAATCCAGTTTTCTCGCTGTCCTATAGCTATCCGAACAAGCATCCGCTTTCGTTTCGATTCGCTTGTTTTGCCATACGCAAAACTATTCCGGAATTTACAGATAGCTTCTCCGTATTCGCTGTGGGTTTGCTACCGCTTGTTTTTGTTCAAAGTGATTTTATGCTTTACTTGTGCTCTTTCTCAACCTTTAAGATGACGCACCTTCAATCCTAAACTCACCTCAATTTGCCAATTATTTTAATGTAGTCTTTATTTTATCATGTTAATTCGGCAATACTTCTTTTTTTTCTAACGAAACCCTATTTTTTCTTGCTTTCACACCCGCCGAAACAAGTTTTTTAGAGGATTTATTTTAAGTTGTTTACTGTGTGAAAACTCAAGATCCATTTCTAGCAGATTTGCAACCGCTGAATCTTTTTTCATGATCAAGAAAGATTTCACCTAGCTTGAACCAGCTGAAGATTGAAATTTTACGCAATCAGGTTTTCTGTTCGTATAACTCTACCATAGGGGATTCTCGCAACTATCCTCGAATCATCTTTGCTCGGTTTTGAGGGTTAAAAACCAGAAATATTTGCTACAAGCCTTGAAATAATAGCTGTCAGGCACAGAAATGGTACCACCATGTACTATTTTTTTTAGTATTTCGAGGTTCAGTTGATCTTTATCTCACATCATTATCCAAAACTTTGTAGATTTTGGAGCGTTTCCGAAATTTGCGTCACGTTTGATAAATTTTTCTCCGTTAAACGTTAAAAGAATAAAACCAATGTTGTAAGGGCAGTAGTCGCTTGTCTGCTAAACCAGTGGGTTTCTCATATATGAGTACAAAAATAAAATTTTGCCGCGACAAAAGCCGATGTTTTGTGTTTTTTTTTAAGGAAAAAATATTGAAAAGACTCACTTTTTTATCGAACAATTTGTGCAAGGATGGAATGAACTTGAAAAAGTCAATGAATCTGAGGTATTGTCGCTCTGTATAATACTAGTGTATGGTCAAGGCATTTTTCTGCTCAATGATAACTTTTGATCTTCATTGGACGATTCACGACTTCCCGAACATAGGGAAAACATCACTTTAACAATAGGTTTCTCTTGTCAATCAAATCTACCGCATTGCTTAAAGCTGTTCTTGTCGAAAAATATTGTTTTGATTTTTTGAGCTCATTTAGTGAAAAGTTTTGATGCAACCGCTATAGAATGTCCACAAGCTTCATGATTTCTTACAACTCAGTTAAATGATTGAGGTTAGACAAAAAGTATTCGGAGCAAGCAACCACGAAATTTTAAACAATTAACAAGAATGCTCGTATCAGGGCGAAGCCCTGAATGTTCCGACTGCCTTTTAAGGTCTATGGAGCATTAATATTATGAAAAATTTCAATGTAATACCTTTCGAATGATATAAAAAAATTCCGTCAAAAATGGCTAGTTAAAAAGTCGAAATTTGTCTGAAGAAAAAAAAAACCCACCCCGAGCACAAATATTCCGTTACTTTCGTATCAAAAGTCGGAACAACAAGCTGCGTAAACCATAATACTTGAAGGTACAAGTACTTAGAAGGTTTAGGATTTTATTTTTCTCAATCCAATTAACGTCAAAGCAGTTTTCAGAATTTTGCAAGAATGGGCAATTACATTTAATTTGTTCTGAATGATGAACTTTAGCAATCCGGTTTTAAGTGCAAAATGATGTTGAGTAGGTCCAAACAAAAGAGGCAGTTGAATGTGAAGTACTTAAGTTTTAGAGCTAATATCTATTTTATAGAAACATGGGAAGAAAATCCCTCTTTTTTTGATAAAACTCAAATTACTTTTGGGTTTATACTGTACTTCCAGTTGTGTATGTATCAAGGTTGTTCAAATCAGGTATTCACCCAGCTGGTGCGCTCGCTTTTTTTAACGAGACAAACGTCGATGCTGAGTGTCAGATTATACTCAGCCGTAAATGAAAAGCAACTCATTTCTGATGGCAATGATTTCTGATTTTTTTCTTCAAAATTTGTGGTTTTCAAACACGGAAAGCAAGGTTTCTGTAAGATTGTCCAAATAATGGAGCAAAATTAACATTTTTTGATTGACGTTTGGCGATACCCATAAGCTGTTTAAGTCTGTAGGATCGAATGCATTTTTCCAGCCTATCCGAATCAATTTTTAATGCCATGCTCATCCCCGTTTTCATTCGTAGTTTGCATAAGCGTCTCTCCCCCCTCGAATTAAATATCATTAGAATCGGTTTTTGCTCTGTTTCCAGCTGAACCTTCTCAATAAAAGCCAACTTGGACGGATCTTTGACGATTTCTATGACAATAATGAAATTTTGAATTTTGTTACTTTTTTGTCTCACTTAAACTGCAAAAGGTCACGAAAAAATTAACATATTGCAAATGTCCGAGAGTGGCATAAAAACGGAACCAGTAGTACGTAAATCAGCTGATTTAACTCAATTAATAGATAAAATATGAGTTGATGCGAAATGAGCAGAGAAATTTTCTGGCTGATGAAAGCTAGAGTGACAATTATCACGAAAATCTTCAAAACGACCGTAAGTTTGGAGTGTATATTTCAGTTTGAAAACATTTGACTCTGGAAATGATCATTCATCGCAATGATAAACTCAAGGTATTCTTCACGCTAATAGCGATTTTCAACCCATTTAATTGCATTTTTCAATAACAGAAGTTTCACTTGATAACTTTCAAGTTCGTTTGTCAAATGAACTTCAAAAAGATTTAAATCCAAGTGCATCTAAAGTGTTTTCAAAATACATCAAATATGAGAAACAAGTATGTGTGTCTTACCTATGGCAAATCAAAATAGATTGTGCTATGTGCGCGCAAGTTTGAGTTTGTAACAACTTTCTACCCAAAATATGAAAAAAAAATCAACAGTCCCAAAGTCCCAATTGTTTTACCGTGATTTTAAAATCTTTTGTGAAGTTGAAAAAATCAAATTATTCGACTTCACAAAGTATGATAAAATCACGGTAATACAATCGGGTCAGATTTATTACAATACTTCAGAAAGTAAGTCACAATGTACCAAAAAATTGTGTTAAATGAGCGTGTCTTTATTCATGTTCAGAGCACGTCTTTGTTCGTTTTAACAACAACTTCGATTAAAAAAAACATTTAACGAACTCGAAACTGATTTGCATCATCAGTGTAATCAAGCTCAGGACAGTTGCGTACGAAAACGAGATGATTGGTGTCCTGTGCTGTAACTTGTAAAAAAAAGTTAGGACTTTTGAAATCAAGCGCTCAGATTAAGAAAAATGGAACAGTATTATGAGGAGCTTTTCCTTTTTCCAAACTTCATTGAACTCTACCATTACTGCTGTGGTAAATTTGGCGCTCTAGTTGTTGATATGGGTCTTGTTTTATACCGTCTTAGAAATCAGAACTTTACAAAAATAATCTGAGGTGAAATATCTTTTTACATTTGAACTCAAGAAGTCATTATCTTCAATAGGGTATAAAAAAATTTTGTTGAAAATTTTTATTTCGATCGGTGAAAATTGACTGAATAAAAAAACCACACCGAGCATAATATTCTGTTTTCTTCGAAAGTCGGAACAATTAAGTTCGGCTGGTAATTTTCCAAACTCTCAATGCAATTACCCCAACTATATATATTGAATGTTGAGCATTTTTTACATACGATCAATTGATGGAAGCGTATGACAAGCATTTTATTTGTATGAATTGTATGACAAGCATGTTTTGTGTACCGAGATCAACATGGGAACTCAAGATTCCATTTTGTATTCAATATGAGTGGATGGAGCAAGTTTTTGGAAAATCAGCCCACTCTTGAAAATTAGTTTCCAAAACACAACGGTGTCTCGTAATAAAGCGGATAGCCAGCGAACTTTAAACTAGTTTTTATTGTCTATGTGTTGACAGAAGGGAAAGATTGGGGGGAGTCGTTTCCGAACTGCGATGGAATCCGACAGAGTCCGATTGACATCCAATCAGAGGCGGTCTTGTCAGCTCACTATTTGTCTCCCTTTTTCTTCTCCGAGGCATTCTACCGTCCGGTGCAAAAAGCGACTCTGAGCAATACTGGACATGGCTTCAAGGTTAGCCCAGGCTTGTTTCTTGATTCCAGTTCGAAGAGATACTTAATTCAAGTTTTTCAATACATAAAATGAAAAAAAGACTGCTCGTATCAGGGCGAAGCCCTGAATGTTCCGACTGTTTTTTTTAAGGTCCTGGAGCAGTAATAACATGAAAAAGCTAAATGTATTAAAACAAAATTAAAATTTTTTTGTTATAAATGAGATGTTTTGTATCAACATTCCCCCACACGTCATAGTAAGAACAAAGTGATAGATTTTCTCCTATTAACAGATCAATTATGGCAAATAAGCTTCCTTCAACCAATTTGGAATGATTTTTAAGACGAATTAAATCTCCGCTGACGCGTTAATAGCGCGAAATATTTTGCGCTTTAATGGTCCCAAATTTTTGAACCACCATAACTTTACAAAAAATGATCACACGTGAAATATCTTTTCAAAATTAAGCTCAAAACCAACAATACTATTTGGATGATATAAAAAAAGCTGTCAAAAATTTCTAGTTAAAAAGTCGAAATTTGTCTGAAGAAAAAAAACCCACCCAATATTCCGTTACTTTCGTTACGAAAGTCAGAACAATAAATATTTCAGTGATTGTAATTGCGGCTGTCAATTTTCTAACCGAAAATGAAATCAAACAAGGATAGCATGTGGCTGTGCAAGTAGGACATAATGTTCCAATCATAATGTGACATATAAATATATAAATATATCACTCCAGCCATTACGCCGATTATTCTAGGTAAAGCCTGCTCACACCCCTCAAAAATCAAAATATTCCAGAGTGATTTTTATCGATATTGGTTTTTCTCGTCACTTTAGTCAAATACTGATATGACATTTTTTTTTGTAACTGGTTTTTCTCGACATTTTTTGTCATTTTTTGGAAAATTTTTTGTAATTTTTTCGATAACGTTCGAATGAAAACTGAAAGGGCTTTAAAGTTTTATAACGATCGACCCATTCCTATGATTATTCGTGGCTCCTGGTTTTGCGTGGAAAACAAAAAAATGATAACTAAAACGAAAAAAACTAAAACACACCCGAACTGAAAGTTCCTTCCCATTTTCAATGGTCAGAGCAAAAACATCAGTGGTACTATGTTTATACGTTGGATGAAAGAAATTTTTTGATCATATGACTCTTTTTGTTAAATTTTTGAAGTTTATCACTTACAAAAAGCCTCGTGAAACTTCAAAGCTTTGTTCAAAGTTATACCAAAATCAGATAAACTAATATCTCGAAAACTTGCCAAAATTAAAACTTAGCAAATAAGGTTCACACGGCCTTTTCACGGGAAGACATTATAAAACAGCCTCGTTTCGAAACAACTATAAAATATCGCCAGAAATTGCGTAAAACCGCCTTGAAATGAGATTTTTGTTGTATTAATGGATTAATTAGCATTGTTAAAGCTTTAATCATTTCAAATAGTTTTCATAGATTATTTCTAAAAAAAACTTTTATTTTTTAAAAGATCCTGAACTCTAGATGCAGCTCTGCTCAATTCGAGTACTCGCATAAAAAAAAGTTAAAAGGTGTTTGTAGATGAATATTGAAACTTAATCAATGCAACTTGAAAAAAAAGTTGCTTAAGACGCCAAGAGCTCGTGAAATATAAAATATTTACTTGAACAATAGAAAAAAATTACTATGGTGTTTTGATTACTGAAAACTTTAGTGACTTGGTTATAGAAATTAAGTAATCAAAAAAACTAATCTATCAACTTCATTCAATTCGATGGGCGCATATTCAACTAAGACTAATTTAGCCCTAATTAATTCATTCAAGACAAAAATTCAGAAACGGTTATCAATAACTCAAAAAAGTGACATTTGAATAGTTATTCAAGACCAAACTAGCAACCACCGACACAGTACTTTTGGCTGCAAACACTTCCAAATCAAGGGGGAAAAAACAAAGGGTTGGATTTTAGATTACGTACCCGTGCTGTCAAAAATCAAAGCCAAAAATTTTGATACTTTGAAGTATTTGTTTCATACGTCTACTTGTATGAAAACTCTAAGATTTCTAATCACCAGTATTTGTGATGAGGTGTTTGAGTTGAGAGGTGGAATGAGATAGAAAGAATTGAGATCGAAGGAATTGGCAGGAATGAGATCAAAGTGATAGGAATTGAGATCGATGTTGGGTGTGAGGCAGAATTGAGAACAAACCAGGCAGGAATTGATATCTAACCTAGCCTGAGTTAAGATAGAAGTTGGGTGTACGTTGACAGGGATTGAGATCGAAGTTGGGTGTAAGATGCGGGTAGGATTTGAGATCGAAGTTGATGTTAAATTGGCATGAAATGAGATCAAACGCTTGATAATTCAATTAGTAGCTTAAATAGTAGCAGTAGTTAGGACAAAGCTCGCTAGTGACCACCTGGTAAATAAAAGATTTGATTTAAAATGCTACTATGTATGTAACTTCAATCCGCAAACAAAACGCAGGTTGCGCCTTCATATCGGATATTCAGCTTACAATTTGTTGATTCCACAACAGCTAATTTTTTTTACATCTTTATTTCATTTCTTAATTGTGGATTCCACAAACTGTTCCCAATTCTGCAAACCTTGATGCGAATTCCGCAAATTTGCTTAGTTTTTTATCGATTTTGAGCGGTTCAGTGTTTTAGTAATTTTTTTGTGGAACCCGAACCAGCAAGGAAGATCAAAGAAACGTAGCAACGCTGAGGTTTCCGCGCGCGACTAATCTAATTTTGCTTCTTGTGGAATCCGCTTTTAAATTCACAAAATGCACAGTTTGGCCTCTTAATGTTGTAACTTTTCAAGGGTGGCCAAAACAATCGAGAATTTTTGGATGACTTATGATCAGAATTGAGATCAAAAGATTCTTCAGGCCTTTAGGTACGGCTGATGACCTTTAACCTGACCAAGTTCGATTAACAAGCTTCGTATCCGGTGGTTCGAGGTCCGCGACCCAAAACATTCGGGCAAAATAGGTTGCGCGCCCGAAATTTCGCAGTCGCGCTGAGGTTTTTAGTCACGAAAGATCGCGACTTAAGACGCGCAGGGTCCGGAAAGTAGAGACTCAAACGCAGTACGGTTGCGCCATCGGTTGGGAAAGCTGTGACTGAAATAGAGATTTCGTAGGGATTAATTGCGATACAACATCAAAGCGCCATTTTTGGGTTAATAAAAGAAATTTCGGATTTCTTTACTCATTGTCAAGAAAAAATTGCTTTGAAAAAAATTGCAGACTCAAAACTCTGCAAAACTCGTAAAAAAAGACAAAATTTAATCTGCACTTACTTGACTTACTTATTTTCATCGCTTCTTAGCTAATTTTAAACTTTTCTTTGGTCGAGAAAGTCGAAATATGCCGATTTTTAATCGAGCAAGATGAAAAATAATCGAGAAACTCGATCTGGGAAAGCATATTATAATCTGCGTGTCGAAATATTCATCTTGAGCAAAAGCAAACTTTTGGTTTTCTGCATTGATAATTGGTAGGAGTTACTTATCTGTTACTATCCTCGCAACTCTGGAGACGAAACTGTTGATCTTTTTAAAGGTGTCAGTGGATGGGAATGGGCTGAATATGGGTGGGGGTGGACTAACCCACAGACGCTACGAGTTGCTTCAGTTCCATGCACACTGGGGAGACCACACGAGGTTCCCGATGGGATCGGAACATACGGTTGACAAGCGACAATATCCGGCCGAGGTATGTTCGAAACTCAATATGGTTTAGTAACCGTTATTTTCAAATAATATCCGTTTGACACCGCTCGACTAATTTTGAAATCGCTAAAACAAAACCAATTTTATTGGAAAAAATAAGAAGCAGGAAAAAGTTTTCCAAGCTAGTGCTGGTGTAAATGATCATGCATTATGCAGTTCAAGACAACAAAATTACAATATTTTTGAACAAAAAAAAACAAAAAAAAAACCTAACAAAATTCGAAGTTTTCAAAGAGCGACTGCTTTTTTAGCTCAAAGCATAACGTCAGCCAAGAATGCCTAGCACTAAAGGTTTCATAAGTTAAAGGGTTCTATAGGCATTCGATAAATTGACCACCCATACGGTTTCTTCTTTGGTGCTATTCAATTATTCAATGACATCGGTTTTCGGCCGACCGACCTTTTAGTTTTTCTTGGGTGCTGTTGGCGCCATTTAAATTTAGTTTTTATTGGAGTACTTGCGCCCAAAAACATGTTTAGAAACGCCGACTTTTTGGTTATTGGAGATCTTAAAGCGTTTACAAAACCGCGATCCTTTGAACAATCATGGGATCGAACCCCTGAGCGGAATTAGTCCAATCATGATGGAAAGCGACCTTTTAGATACATCTTGAAAATTTCATAAAATTCTCGAGGTGTTTTTTTAAAATTTTTTAGGCATTCCTTGATTATCTTCATTAAGTTGGCTGTTTCAGTTTCACTTTGTATTCAAGAGCAAAGAAACTTCTACTTTGGCCGTCTTGGGATTCTTCGTTGAGGTATGTATTTAGTTCTATTATTTCGAAATCAATCTAAAGACAATGAGTCAGGCATTAAAAGTTCCGTTCAAAAGAGTGTTAAAAAATAACTGATAACTGGTAAAAACTTTGTATCTGTTACTTGCCTCGCCACTCTGGATACTCAAAAGTTGATTTTTTAAAAGTAATGAAAATAATAAACTGTTTTCAGGCTAATGCCCAAGTGGAATTTGTTATAATCCGCTAGCCTGAGAGAGAGTCCTGAGATTTTCTGGTACATTTTCTGATAATTTTTTTCTTATTTTTTTCTCAATTCATCTCTCAATTTTTATCGGTATCAACCAAAACGCAAAAAAAAACGAAGAAAAAGAAAAAAGAAAACGCATATTTGAAAATATGACAAAAAACATGTTGAGATGTTACAGTAATATTCCTAGCTATAAATTATGGTCAATAGAGCATCCTTGTTTAAAATAAGCTATCTAAGAAAAGGTGTTTTTCTTCTGTTTTAGGCTGTTTTGGACTCTTTTTTGGTAAACTCATTGCAAATTTTTCCTTATTTAAAGACGCATCTGGTCAGTTTTTTTTTCTTATACGCAGTGAGTTTTTTGTTTGGTAATTCGCACCAGTCGTGAAACTTTCGAGTTTCTTTTTTGTTTTGATATTTTACTTAGATCTTTTTCAGTTATTACGATGCGTAAGTATCTACTGGGATATTTTTTCAGATTATTTTATTAAAGGTGTTAAAATTTCGAAAAAATGAAAATCAGTAAAAGTATACATTATAAATCAGCTGACCTCATTAAAACGAATCTAAGCTTCATGAAATTGTTCTGTATAATCTCTTTCTTCAGATCTTTATCCTGATTTTTTCTTGACATTTGTTTGGAGTACCATATAATAAAACTCTATATGGAATGATACGTTGCACAAACGATTTGCTTACGTGTATTTTTTCTTAGAAGCTTACTTAATTGTTGAAAGGAACCGCAAAATGTATTTATTTTTCTTCCTGAGAAAAGAAACGGGAACGAAAAACTCAAATTGTTGTCTTTTGTTATTCCCAAATACCTAATTGATTTCACGTTTTCAATTTCACGTTGATTCATGTGCAATCCATTTTTTCCAAATTAGTTGCTTATAGTCATTGGTATTGAGGGCGAGAATGTTTTCTTTCAGCCAATTTTTAGTTTTTTTTTAGTGCTGGTTGATTCTATTGATCTAATGAGTCATCTGATGAACTTAAAGTAACAGTGTCTTCAGCATAAAGAAAGTATGAGAATTATGTTGACTGGAGGATAAATCAGTTGTGAAGCTAATAGAAAGAAGTCGACCTAAAACCGAGCCCTGTGGCACTCAATAACAAATTTTATTGGTGCTGTTTTTTTAAAAAGATACTGAAACTGTGATCTATATTGAAAATATGATGTCAAAAGATTCAAAAATTGGACCACGCAGTCCATAAGAGTAATATTTTCCTAGAGGTTGTATATCATCGACCGTCTCGAAAGCTTCTTTATATTAAGAAAAGTACATTGCGTTAATTTCTTTTGGTTGTCTCGCTCAAGTCGGATTGTTTCAGTAAGTGACGCTACTGCATCAATTGATCTTGATCTTGTTTGATACCAACTTGTGTAGTCTATAGAAAATTTTGATCCTTAAAATACTTGTTTTTTTCTAGGTTATTTTTTTGAAGTTAATTTTTCTGTAGTAAATTATTTTACCTAAAACTGGAAGTAATTAAATTGGTCTGTAGATTTCTGGTTTAAGTTCAGATCCTTCCTTATGAGTCTTTTTGCAGCTTTTAAGCACGCTGGGAAATGTTTTTTATCAATTCACTTTTGGATCAAATTTTTCAGCACTGGGGTTATTTCATAAGCTTTTGAATTCAAGAAAACATAACTTAAATTGAAACAATTTGCACTGTAATTTGGTTTTTTGAAATAAATTCAAGAATTTTAGCCATTTCAAACGGTCTTAAAAGCTTTGTTCTTAAGTTTTAATGTTGTTTCTTAGCTTTCCTGCTGTTTTATTTCAGCTAATTTTTCTCATCTTCTTGAAAAACAAGCATTGGAAAATTCGACTTCTCGTACATCGAAAACTTCGCTTTTATTTCTTAGTTTACTTTTACCAGTAACCTCATTGACAATTTTGAATAGTCCTCTGCAAATATTTTCAGTCTTTGTGTTAAATTTCTGTTGGTAGTGTGTTACTTTTGTCCCGTACCAGATGGTTATTTTTTTGCACATTCATTGAATTTTTCACTGTTTTTGAAAATTTTTTTCAGTGAGATGGAGTTGCAAAAGTTTGTATTTTTATTATTGGCTGCTTTTTAATGGAGTTATCTATCCATACTTTTTACTTTTCCATCTTGTTTCTTTTTCTGCCAAAAAACTGTCTAATATTTGTTTACATTGCAACCAATTTGCGAAATGCGTTTTTTCAATTCAGATGGGTGAAGCTGTTACAATCATCTGACAGTTTTATCCCGAGTTCTTTACAGGTTCTGTATAAGTCTTAAATTGTTTGATTTGAAATGTAGTTTGACTTATGCTCGAGGTTATTTGATTTAACATCTGATAATTCCAAATCCTCCGTAAAGTAAAGTTTGTCGCTTCCGCCTCTTTTCGTGCAAAAACTTGTGGCAATCTTATGATGGTCATCAATTGTGTAAGCAGATTTAATTTGTTCTTCTTTCAGCCGATTTGCAGTATTGCAAACTGCAATTGATTTTTTTTCAAAAAAATTTTTAAAAACTTTTCGTGTTTCGAATTTTTTTTGTAATGATCGCGCATTTTGTAAAAACAAAACACGTATCTATTTTCATCCGTTTTCGAATTTGGTAACCTGATGTTTTAGTTCGACAGAAAAAAGCAAACAAATGAGTTAATACAAAAGATGCAAAAAGCTTAGAAGCTTTTATATATTTTTTTACTAATTTTTGTACGACTTGTTTTCTTACTTATAAAAAACAAGTCATAAAAAATTTTAAAAAATATATACAAAAACATATAACGTGTAAACAGTTTGATAACGATGTTGGGAGGCCCCACGAAATCATAAGTCACCCAACCAAATTATTTTGAGTAATTTTTCTTTTCGTTCTTTTTTGAGCTCGTTTCTGAGTGTCCCTTGACTCTTTGCTGAGCCATGCGTACTTCAAAGAATAAGAATAATGCTCGCGGAAGTCACAGGCAGGACAAACAGAACTGAATGTATATCAGAAGTTTATGTTTGCTTATGAAAAATTGAGAAAGTGGCTTTTTTACGTTTGAAAAAACAAGTGAGGCATCAAAAACACACAATAAAAATAAGGTCAGAAAACTGTCTTGTTTTCTGTTCACAAGCAGTTTATAAGCAAAGATTCAGTCAGGCTTTTATATCAAGGCAAGAGGTATCATTTAGCTCATATGTTTATCTCAATTGAACTTTATCAGTCTATTCGGCTCATGATTTTTTAGGGAATTTTGAATTCGCATCATTGGATTTTTTTGCTCATTTCCATTTGCTACGAAAATTGACACAAGGTAAGAATTAGTTGTGGTTATTGGTCCCATGTCACTTGCAAACATTCTAAGTTTCGCATCGCACTCAGACAAAGGCTCCCAAATATGAATATTGTTTCAATATATAGGATTTGTTGTCATCGTGCACGGTATTCCTCGTCTTTAACATCGAAACAGACAAGTGTGATAAGGGTGTCGAAGTCTGGATTGCGAATAATCAAGCAGAAGTTGTCAATATATTTCCGTGTTGACAAAAAAGTGTAACATACAAAAGCATGCGATAAAAATTGCTCATCATGTAATTTCATACAATTTTAAGGAACAAAAAAATTGTACGAAAATGCAAAAAAAGCAATTTTTTCCATGACATGAAACCTTATTACAAGCGTTTTTTGCCACACTTTGGAAATTAATAACAAGCTTTTTGCAATAATTTTTATCACGAAAGTTACAGAATGAAGTCGTATGATAAGCACTTCTTTCAAATTCTATGAAACTGAATGATCGGCATTCTTTCCAGAAAGGTAAATTCAAACAACTGTTTCGAAATTTCGTTAAGTTCAATAACACAAAATTCAAAAGTTTCTATCATAAGAAAATCCAGAGTTAATTGGCAGTTTTCACGCAGATAAACTGCATCTGGTGATATTAGCTATGTAATCTAAAGTCAACATTTTTACTCAGACTTAATTTTTGGTATATGGCTTAGAAAAATTTTATTTTTGAACTTTGGTGTTGAGAAAAGAGGCCTGTTTTTTCACAAATTTGGTTTTACCATAGCATTTGAAAAAAAAACTTTTAAAAAACGTTTTTTGCGGTCATTTATTTTCTTAAATCGTTCATTTGAGCGCGTAAAGGAGTTTGCCATCAAATAAGGGATATAAATATTCATTTATGAAAATGTATGTTGAATTTTTTCTTGTTCAAACTGCTTTTGATGCCAAAAATGATCTCAGGTAACCAAAACTGCCCCTAAATTGTAAGCCAGTCTTAAATCAATTTAAAATAATTTTCGAACAAATAGTTTCAATAAAGGCTCCATATTTGAGAATAATTGAAAAATATTTTCTTGTATAGACGTCAACCTGGGTATATATATTTCAAACAGATTTCATGAACTTTTGGCTTCTAACTTGAATGATTGGATTGGTTTTTACTAGCGTACCAGCACGCAATTTTTTTTGAAATTGAAATGGCTTTCTTTCTGCTCTGAAACAATTTTGTACAGTCATTGGTTCGCTTTTTAACCCATTCAGCGTCCCCACTTGCGCTAACACAATTAATTAAAAATCATCTGCCATAGCCAAATACGAAAAATATGCTGCCAGTTCTAGCTTATTGTTCCGACTTCCGATATGAAAGTAACGGAATATTTGTGCTCAAGCGGATTTTTTTTCAGACAAGTTTCGACTTTTTGAGTAGCGATTTTTGGCGAATTTTTTTAAATATCATTTAAAAGGTGTTGTTGTTTTGAGCTTAAATTTGAAAAGTTATTTTTACCTGTAATCATTTTTTGTAAAGTTATGGGGGTTTAAAGATTGCCATTTTGGCCAATTTGTGACAATTAACCCGCGATATATTTCATGCTATTAAACGTAAGTGGAGATATAACCCGTTTTAGAAATCGTTCCAAATTGGTTGAAAGAAGCTGATATGCCATAGTTGATTTGTTACAAGGAGCAAAATCTATCCTTTTCTTTTTTATGTGGCGTGTGGCGTGAGATTCTCAAAAATCTCAAATTTCAAAATAAAAATTTTCATTAAATTTAATAAATTTTAATTTTTTTTATGATTACTGCTCCGTAAACCTTAAAAGGCAGTCGGAACATTCAGGGCATCGCCCTGATATGAGCAGTCTTGTATTTATTTATGTATATACAATTATAGAGCTGTTATTAAAAATTGAATGCAAAAAATTTATAAAAGAAGATTGAGCGGTCGTGTTTGAATAGATTGATTTGTTAATAGGATCGAAATCTATTCTTTTGTTCTTTATTTGTGGTGATGATTTCAAAAAAAAATCAAATTTTGGAAAAAAAAACTTCATTTTATTTTATTACATTTAATTTTTTAAATGTTAATACTGTTCCATAAACCTTAAAAGGCCGTCGAAACATTCAGGGTTTTGCCCTGATACGAGCAGTCTTGTTTGAATTTCTGAGCCTTTTAGACATTTAGTTTACAAAATTAGCATCAAATGATTATTTGGAAAACAATTGATATAATAGCAGAGAATCGGTTTTTAGTTACTCGAGAACGCGCAAAAACGTCAATTTCTTTAATTATGATATTATGCTTCAGATATTATAAGAAAAAGTGTTTTCATGATAAAACAATTGGTTCATGAGTCATTTTGTACGTCGTTAGCGGTTTTGAACTGATATTCTACTCTCACATTTTGTTTCGGTTATCCTATACCTGCCTTAGATTATTTGTGTTCATGTTGTTTAATGTTCCTACGCTTATCAGTGAAAAAAACAATTGATTTTCTCGACAAAACAGCAGCTGAAATACCAACTCATTCTTCGAAAACTAAATTACATTGGTTACATTAACCGACCATGGGGAAGGTTCTCATGCTTGAGGGACAGAACGCTTGAAAAAACTTCAACCAATCAAAATCGTTAAGCGTTTCTATTGGCTAAAATCGAAGTCAACATTAACAGAAAATGTATTAAATCAGTGGAAAATAATCAAAAATATACAAATTGCAGGTTACAACCGCATTACTTTTTTGGTAACCATCAACATTATTGAGTTCAAAATCATAAGAATTTTTTTCGTATTAAAAACTCATTTGCTTATTATCTAATAGGTCAATATTAACACTAATGGCCTTGATTTATTTTCTTACATTGAGATTTTTGCGATTTACTTTGAGATTTTGAATATTCAATTCTGATTGGCTGAAAGTAAGCTAAAATTAATTTCAAGCATTCGGTCCCTCAAGCATGAGGGACGCCACCATACAATATCAACAAGTAATCTAGTTTTTAAAAGCTTCTAACAATTGTCAAGTAGTCTAAGAAGAGGATTGCTGTTCTTCTAATTGCCGTACAAGTCATCAAATGACTGCGGTTGTGTTTTTGATCGAGCTGGTGTGGCAAACAATTCGTATGGTAAATAATTTTTAATCTCACTGGCTTTTGGGATTTTGAGAACAATGTTTAGCGTTGCCTCTTTTCTCAAAATTTTTTTTATAATACGCGACAGGACTTGTAAAAAACAATTTCATTGGCTTTTCTTATGACACACGGTAAATGTTTTGTTGTTGATTAAATACGGATTGTGCTGGTGCTTCATCAGGTTTCATTCACAGCAATTAGTAATGAATCCGAACACTGGTAGTGTTTTAGTTTAGCTCTCTAGATTTTTTTATGTTAAGAAACTTTTTTTGAGCCCTGAAAAACTGAGTCATCTCATCAATTTTTTCTTAATTTTTTCTATTCATCCTTTTATTATCACCCTTTTGTTTTTTTTGCAATTGAGTTGTTTCTTAAGTGTACGGAAACTGTAATGAAGACTGTTTTCAGCGTTTTATGATGTATTAAAAAAACTTTTGCATTTTGTTGTTAATGTTTCAGACAGCAATCGCAATCTCACAAAATCATTAACCTAATTTGAGTAACGAGATCCACAAAATCAATAATCAAAAAGTATCTCTGTATCAATTTGCATGAAACCGACACAGAATTTGATTTTCGTTTTTCAATCCAGGCTACTGTATCGGTAGATTTCACATGTTTTGTAGGCAAAAAACTTGAAAACTGGTATGATTAACAACCTTGCTGTATCATAAGTATTAGTTATTATTAATCATAACATCATTTCTTTGAACATGGTAAAAAAATTTAACTACATCTTCACCTTAGTTTAATTTTCGTTCTTTCTGCCTACAATTAAAAATTGTTTCTATAAATCTTTGTAAAACTAACCCCGAGACAATATTGAGTTATACTACACGCTCCTTTTTTCCAAATTTCATGAAATGTGTTAACAACTTGATTAAAAAATTTGAAATTTAGACAGTTTGTGCCGTCTAGTTCTCATCTTGGTGTCTGTTAAAAAGTATTGAGAAGCAACCATTTCAACTTTTATCTGCCCACTATCTTATTCATTTCCAGGAATCTGTTCAAATGAGCAATATATTTTTGCTTTATTCAATATCCCTTATACTGCTGTGATGCTTCTTCCTATATTTTTGTAGTCATTAAAATTTGGGAACTTTTTCTCACAACGGTGAATACTACAAAAAATATATCAACCTTGCATCTGTCTCTATGTCGTGTTGTATCAGCTCGCATTTAACTTTTGACAAAATTTGTTTCTACTGTACATTGAATATACCAGAACTCTGAGTTTAAATGCATAAATTTACTTGCCCGGCATAAGACCTTTGCCGATCCAAAGGGTCCCAAGGGTCCCCCTTTGTACTATTTTGAGGTATCCATTTTTGGTGACGGAGCCAAAAAAATTTTCAAAGGCGCCTCTGGTGCCAGTATATACTAATTTTGATGGGGAGCGCGCGCCGAAAAAACGCGATTTTTTGGTCAACATTTTCCAAAAAATGCCTAAAAAGTATTTTTTGGTCTTTTTTTCTCAAAATTTTGCTTGCGGCGCACAAAATTTGGCCAAAACAGGGTCGTTTGAGTGCTTTGGGAAAATCGGAAAAGGAGACAAAATTTTCGAAGTTTTTTTGAAAATCAGCCCCTGCCCCCACATTCTTTTTTTTCGAAAATACAAATGAGTAGATTAATGGAGTAATGTTCCTTTCTAGTTGAGCGACATTGCTGCCAAGGGAGGTTTGGGCAACCTGATAGATTTGCTGGCACAAACAAAATTCGATAAGGATTCTTCTTCTGGAAGCGAGGATGGCAATCACGATGATGGAAACGAAGCAGGTAATTGCGATTCATGTTTCGACCAATGATGTCAATAGTAATGAAAAATTTTGGATAATATTTCGACTGAAGACTTGTGCAAGCAGATCCCGGGTCAAAGTTTTGACTTTATGTTCCGACCAGCGCGATCGAATCGCCTATGTATCGCCCAGCGCAACCAGAAACCCATGTTTCGACCAAGTTCGACAACCCATTTATGATTTGGATAACCACTCCATTTAACCAGGGAAACGCTAATAATTTATAATTTTTGCGTTTTGCAGCAAAGTTTAATCGGAAAGAAAACAACACAGCAGTCGCCGAAAAGGTAATGCGTCGTAGCGAACCGACTTTTTTCAATCGGATTACCAATTTTCATTAAACTCACTTTTTCCCATCTGCATTTTCTCTCTGCAGAAGTTTTCTATCGAGCAAATGAACTTTGGTTGAAGTATTTGAACAAAAATAACAAAAAAAATTCCACAAACTTTAAGCAATTATGATGCGACTTTGAGTAAAGTTGGTTTCGACTAATTTGAACCTTTATGTTTCGACTATCACTTCAACTATAGGCGCTGCGCTGCATGGATGTTTTTCGGCAAGCTATGACGTTCGCCTCGATCAATTCGGTCAAAACATACTGCGGAAACCTCGAACCGAGATATCATTTTTTAAAATATAAATCTGCAATTAAAATCAACAACTGAGTTTTTAATGCATTTTTAAGCATGAAAAGCACTAGAGACTAAAAAATGAACTGTCACACCGAGAAACCCAGTTTTCTGCTGATAACTTTCACGTTGTGAGAACAATTTTTTTTCTTCTATTCAAGAGAACTCTTTTGTGCAAGAGCAGTTCACTGTAATTTACTGTAGAAGGTAAAGAACTAGACATGTAATGGCTGAAACTGAGCACTAATTACGTTTCGATTTATATGCTGGCCGATTTAACTTTAAGCTAGTTGAGGTTTTGCAAGTCGATAAAGTGCCCCAATGATTCCCAATGACAAAACCATTGAAACAGGATAGTCAGAATATTGAAAAAGTTTTTTTACAGAGTTAAAATCAAATTGCTGACAATATCATTTTCGGTCAAAGGAGTTCAAACAATCTAAAAATGCTCACTTTGACATCGAACCAGGGGGCGAATCTAAAACTTTTTCAACCATTCCTTTCCTTTTTTTAAGTCGGCCAAATTAATTTTCCGAGCTCACACAAGTCACTACAACGACCCTGTTCTGACCAAATACACTGACCTGTTTGAGAAAGTTTGATTTTTTTGATAAACCAATGTTTAAAATAAATTGGGATCGAACGAAAAGTGGTAACTCAATATTTTATTTAACAGAGAGGGAGTAATTCAAATCACATAGGTTGCACAAATTTTTTTTTTCTAATAGACCAAAAATTTGTCGATTTGTACTTGACAAGGCATGAAAAAATGATCTAAAACAATAAAGAAAAAATCAATTAATGCAATTTTTTATGAACTTTTTGCTTAATTATTTGCCGAAAAGTACCTAACATTAATAAAAGCTTTTCTGAATCTAAAATGTATTCTGATAATCGTAGGTTTTTCTTGTCAAAAATAAGAATATTTTAAGTATGGCGAAGCAACACAGAAAAATCTCGCTCAGAAATCTTTCCGATCTGTGTTGCAAAAACGTATCGAAAAACTATTTACAAAATCTTAGTTTCTTTCTAAAGCAGAAACAAGCAAAAAAGAACTCAAATTTCTTAAACAAACACACAAATCATAGACCACGTTGCAAAAACCTACAAAAATGTGTTTGCGATTTCCAAAAGCATAGAAAGTTAAGTCTTGAAATAACTTTTTTGATTTAAACATTGTTGTGGGTCCTCAAAATCAGTGTCCGACAGCTCAATCTCATTTACTGCCAATAATTTGAACTTACCAGCTAAATCTTAAAAACTGCAAAAACGAACACCTCTCCGATCTCAAAAACTGGTAGAATGAACACCTTTCCGATTTCAAATACTAGAAGATTTTTAAAAATTTTCGATCTCATATACCGAGAGAATGAAGGTTGTTTGATCTCAAATACTAACAGCACAAACAGTTTTCCAATCTCAAATTTTAAAAAAAGTTAAAACAAACAGAGGTACACTATTTCATGGGTTATATGCTGATTTATCAAAAAAACTTCGTTTATTTCAAAAACTAAATGTTACATCCAAGGTTTCGGTTGAGCAAAAAAATTAGGATTTGTTATTGCATTCCACTAACAATAGTTAAATCCTTTTTTTTTTAATTTTGGAGTTTTTTTTACGTAAAAAAAGCATATCATGCAGTTTTCATAAATAGAATTCATATGATTAGCATTTTTTCCTGAAAAAACACACTTTTGATAACCAATATGTTTATTTTTCAATGGAAATCCAAAGTAAGCTCATTCGGTCTTGCCTAGTAACCTTTTAAAAGGATTTTTTTTAAATGAGTGGAAAAAATGCGTGTTATACAAGTTTTATATACGGGAATCGTGTGATAAGCATTTTTTCACAAAAACCAGGCATAGAATTGTGTGGTAAGCATTTTTTTGTATGGACTTGTATCAAAAGCATTTTTGTTTTAGTGAAGTCAACCCGGGTGTCGATTAAAACGAACTTCATATTAGGCATTGCTAGCTTAATTAATAATTTCAGAAATGAAAAAAGTTTGGCTTCCAATCTTGTTCTCTTGTGTATCGATAACTTATTCTCATTCACTCAGACCAATTTAAGTTCATGCTGCAAAAAGTTCCACGAAGCGTTGTTTTTAGAAACCAAAATCAGGCTGAAAAATGTGTATGAGAAAATTAATTGAGAAAATTGCGTAGCTGTTTTTTTCCTACTTTGTCAGCTGTCGGATCAAAAAACTGCCCACCCGGTTTAATCTTCACGAAAACGCAAATCATACAATTTTTTTACTGCGTCTTAAGAAAAATCTAATCATGCAAATTTTTTACTGTTTTGAAAATTATTATTGGTTTAATCGAATTTCAAATTTGAAATTATTTAATACTTAGGATTGTAGTCGTGCAGTCAGAAAATGAAAGTAATCATTTATGGAAATGGTATGACAAGCATTTTTTGAAAGTCACTCTGAAACTTCCCTTTCAATTTTTCTAAAACGATGAAAAAAAAACTTTTTTTCTGCGATGCCTATTTTATAGGGTAGAAAAAAATCATTTCAAATTTTTAAAATACAAAAAGAAGCCTCATTGAAAGTTTCAGCAAAAATTAGAACTTTCATATTTTCATCATCGGAAGAACAAAAAACATATATTCAAGGCGGTTAGTTTTAAATCTAGTAAAAATTCACTTTTACTTTACTGAAAAACGCTAGTCATTCACTTTTTATTGATACAAAAGTAATAATCATAGAATTATAGATCTTTCATGCTATTTTCTGTACTTATGAAATTGTATAAAAATTGTGTGAGTAGTATGTTTCGATCAACTCGGGCTAGCTCGATCTGAAGTGAAATTATCCAGTCGCTAATTTAGTCGAGTTGAGTTACAAACTGAGCTAAAAACGAATTAAAAACTACAAAAACCGAAAAAGTCTTCGATATGTTTATTGAAATATCTGTTGCAGTCGACAGCAGCGTTGACATCTCCAATCATCTTAAAATGAGTGACTTGATTCCCATTGGACGGAATGGGGGAGAGTTGGATGGGTTCTACAGGTACTCCGGATCCCTCACCACTCCCCCCTGTAACGAGATAGTGGAGTGGACTGTCTTCCACAAACCCATCTTCATCTCTTTGAAACAGGTACTAATTGATATCAAAGAAATAGGGTGTGTGTGTGGGGGGAGTAGAGGGGGGCGTGGCTTTTCTTTATTTTTTCCTTGGCAGCGTTAAAATTGAGATGAAACAAGAACAACCTAATTTCACAGAATATAATTTCATGAGAAAACTTAGAAATACTTTCGTCTATTCTCTGGGCCTCTTTACGCAGTTAAGTAGAAAAAAATCAAGCTCTATCAATTTACGGCATAAAAAGCACCCATCGCATCAATTTTGCAAAGAAGGCGTCAACATTCGTTATACTTGTAATTGCTCACATGAAACCGTTTTTGATAGATTTAAGTATCGTATAATATTTGAAATCTATTGAAAATATTTGTGTTAAGCAAGTATGAAAAAATGATATAATTTACTTTAGCAAATGGTTATCTCAAAACTGTTAAAAGATTAAGCATAGGGGGGACAGGGGGGGGGGGCGTGGCTTTTCTGTATTTTTTCATTGGCAGCGTTAAAAATGAGATGAAACAAGCACAACCTAATTTCAAAGAATATAATTTCATAAGACAACTTAGAAATGCCTTCGTCTATTCTCTGGGCCTCTTTACGCAGTTAAGTATCAAAAAATCAAGCTCTATCAACTTACGGCATAAAAAACACCCATCGCATCAATTTTGCAAAGAAGCCGTCAACATTCGTTATACTTGTAATTGCTCAAATGAAACCGTTTTTTTTTGGGGGGGGGAGGCGTGGCTTTCTGTATTTTTCCGTGGCAGCGTCAAAACTGAGTTGAAGCAAGCACAACCTAATTTCAAAGAATATAATTACATAAGACAACTTAGAAATGCCTTCGTCTATTCTCTGGGCCTCTTTACGCAGTTAAGTATGGAAAAATCAAGCTCTATCAATTTACGGCATACAAAACACCCATCGCATCAATTTTGCAAAGAAGGCGTCAACATTCGTTATACTTGTAACTTCTCAAATGAAACCGTTTTTAATATTTTTAAGAAATGTATAATTTTTGAAAATTATTGAAAATTTACGGCATAATTTATTGAAAATTTACTCTATCAATTTACGGCATAAAAAGCACCCATCGCATCAAATTTGCAAAGAAGGCATCAAAATTCGTTTTACTTGTATTTTGCTCAAATGAAACCGTTTTTAATATTTTTAAGAACTGTATAATTTTTGAAAATTATTGAAAATATTTGTGTTAAGCAATATTGAAAAATTGATGTCATGTGCTTTAGCAAAATTTTTTCTCTAAATTGTTAAAATTTTGAGCAGAGGGGGTAAGCGTCGCTTTTTTGTGCTTTTTTGCTTGGCGGCGTTAAAGTTGACAAGTTGACATAACCTAATTTCACAGAATATATTTTTCATAAGACAACTTAGAAATTCCTTCGTTTTTTCTCTTGGCCTCTTTACGCAGTTAAGTATGACAAAAAATCAAGATCTATCAACTTACGGCTTTAAAAGCAACCATCGCATCAATTTTGCAAAGAAGGCATCAAACTTCGTTATTTTGTAATTTGCGTGGCTTTCTGTATTTTTTCCTTGGCGGCGTTAAAGTTAAGATGAAAAAAACATAACCTAGTACACAGAAAATAATTTCATAAGACAACTTAGAAATGCCTTCGTCTATTCTCTTGGCCTCTTTAAGCAGTTAAGTATGAAAACAATCAAGCTCTATCAACTTACGGCATAAAAAACATCCATCGCATCAATTTCGCAAAGGAGGCATCAACATTTGTTGTCTTTTTACTTTCCTCAAATGAAACCGTTTTTTTGGAGGGGGGGATATGGCTTTTTGTATTTTTTCCGTGGCAGCGTCAAAATTGAGTTGAAACAAGCACAACCTAGTTTCACAGAATATAATTACAAAAGACAACTTAGAAATGCCTTCGTCAATTCTCTGGGCCTCTTTACCCAGTTAAGTATGAAAAAAATCAAGCTCTATCAATTTACCGCATAAAAAGCACCCATCGCATCAATTTTGCAAAGAAGGCGTCAACATTCGTTATATTTTTAATTTGCTCAAATGAAACCGTTTTCTTGGGGGGAAGGGCGGGGCTTTCTGTATTTTTTGTGGCAGTATCAAAATTGAGATGAAACAAGCAAAACCTAATTTCACAGAATTTAAATTCATACGGCAACTTAGAAATGCCTTCGTCTATACTCTGGGCCTTTTTACGCAGTTAAGTGGGATAAAAATCAAACTCTATCATTTTACGGCATAAAATTCACCCATCGCATCAATTTCGCAAAGGAGGCATCAACATTTGTTGTCTTTTTACTTTCCTCAAATGAAACCGTTTTTTTTGGAGGGGGGGATATGGCTTTTTGTATTTTTTCCGTGGCAGCGTCAAAATTGAGTTGAAACAAGCACAACCTAGTTTCACAGAATATAATTACAAAAGACAACTTAGAAATGCCTTCGTCAATTCTCTGGGCCTCTTTACCCAGTTAAGTATGAAGAAAATCAAGCTCTATCAATTTACCGCATAAAAAGCACCCATCGCATCAATTTTGCAAAGAAGGCGTCAACATTTGTTATATTTTTATTTTGCTCAAATGAAACCGTTTTCATGGGGGGGTGGCTCTCTGTGTTTTTTGTGGCAGTGTCAAAATTGAGATGAAACAAGCAAAACCTGATTTCACAGAATATAAATACAAAAGACAATTTAGAAATGCATTCGTCTATTCTCTGGGCCTCTTTACCCAGTTAACTATGAAAAAAATCAAGCTCTATCAATTTACAGCACAAAAAGCACCCATCGCATCAATTTTGCAAAGAAGGCGTCAACATTTGTTATATTTTTATTTTGCTCAAATGAAACCGTTTTCTTGGGGGGGGGGGTGGCTTTCTGTGTTTTTTGTGGCAGTGTCAAAATTGAGATGAAACAAGCAAAACCTGATTTCACAGAATATAAATACAAAAGACAATTTAGAAATGCCTTCGTCTATTCTCTGGGCCTCTTTACCCAGTTAACTATGAAAAAAATCAAGCTCTATCAATTTACAGCACAAAAAGCACCCATCGCATCAATTTTGCAAAGAAGGCGTCAACATTCGTTATATTTTTAATTTGCTCAAATGAAACCGTTTTCTTGGGGGGAAGGGCGGGGCTTTCTGTATTTTTTGTGGCAGCATCAAAATTGAGATGAAACAAGCAAAACCTAATTTCACAGAATTTAAATTCATACGGCAACTTAGAAATGCCTTCGTCTATTCTCTGGGCCTTTTTACGCAGTTAAGTGGGATAAAAATCAAACTCTATCATTTTACGGCATAAAATTCACCCATCGCATCAATTTCGCAAAGGAGGCATCAACATTTGTTGTCTTTTTACTTTCCTCAAATGAAACCGTTTTTTTGGAGGGGGGGATATGGCTTTTTGTATTTTTCCGTGGCAGCGTCAAAATTGAGTTGAAACAAGCACAACCTAGTTTCACAGAATATAATTACAAAAGACAACTTAGAAATGCCTTCGTCAATTCTCTGGGCCTCTTTACCCAGTTAAGTATGAAAAAAATCAAGCTCTATCAATTTACCGCATAAAAAGCACCCATCGCATCAATTTTGCAAAGAAGGCGTCAAAATTTGTTTTATTTTTATTTTGCTCAAATGAAACCGTTTTCTTGGGGGGGTGGCTTTCTGTGTTTTTTGTGGCAGTGTCAAAATTGAGATGAAACAAGCAAAACCTTATTTCACAGAATATAAATACAAAAGACAATTTAGAAATGCCTTCGTCTATTCTCTGGGCCTCTTTACCCAGTTAACTATGAAAAAAATCAAGCTCTATCAATTTACAGCACAAAAAGCACCCATCGCATCAATTTTGCAAAGAAGGCGTCAACATTTGTTATATTTTTATTTTGCTCAAATGAAACCGTTTTCTTGGGGGGGGGGGGGTGGCTTTCTGTGTTTTTTGTGGCATCGTCAAAATTGAGATGAAACAAGCAAAACCTAATTTCACAGAATTTAAATTCATACGGCAACTTAGAAATGCCTTCGTCTATTCTCTGGGCCTTTTTACGCAGTTAAGTGTGACAAAAACCAAGCTCTATCAACTTACGGCATAAAAAGCACCCATCGCATCAATTTTGCAAAGAAGGCATCAAAATTCGTTATACTTGTATTTTGCTCAAATGAAACCGATTTAATATTTTTAAGAACTGTATAAATTTTGAAAATTTTTGAAAAAAATTGTGTTAAGCAACATTGAAAAAAAGATGTCATGTGCTTTAGCAAAAGGTTTTCTCATCAATTTCGCCAAGAAGGCGTCAACATTCGTTGTCTTTTTCATTTGCTCAAATGAAACCGTTTTTTTGGAGGGGGCGCGGCTTTCTGTATTTTTTCCGTGGGAGCGTCAAAATTGAGTTGAAACAAGCACAACCTAATTTCACAGAATCTAATTACATAAGATAACTTAGAAATGCCTTCGTCTATTCGCTTGGCCTCTTTACCCAGTTAAGTATAAAAAAATCAAGCTCTATCAATTTACAGCACAAAAAGCACCCATCGCATCAATTTTGCAAAGAAGGCGTCAAAATTTGTTATATTTTTATTTTGCTCAAATGAAACCGTTTTCTTGGGGGGGTGGCTTTCTGTGTTTTTTGTGGCAGTGTCAAAATTGAGATGAAACAAGCAAAACCTTATTTCACAGAATATAAATACAAAAGACAATTTAGAAATGCCTTCGTCTATTCTCTGGGCCTCTTTACCCAGTTAACTATGAAAAAAATCAAGCTCTATCAATTTACAGCACAAAAAGCACCCATCGCATCAATTTTGCAAAGAAGGCGTCAACATTTGTTATATTTTTAATTTGCTCAAATGAAACCGTTTTCTTGGGGGGGGCGTGGCTTTCTGTATTTTTTTGTGGCATCGTCAAAATTGAGATGAAACAAGCAAAACCTAATTTCACAGAATTTAAATTCATACGGCAACTTAGAAATGCCTTCGTCTATTCTCTGGGCCTTTTTACGCAGTTAAGTGTGACAAAAATCAAGCTCTATCAA